TACGCACACACACACACACACACACACACACACACACACACCATGCAAAAACATGATGGAGAGTTTAATAATAATTAATTTACCTTAAGGGTGAAACTATTATTGTAAATCAAGTATTTTGTTTATGCTCTTCCTTCATTTTTAAAAATTTATTTCATATTCATATTGATTTTAAATCTCAAATACTGTAATTAGTAATGCTTGTAACCATAACATTTGAAAGCGTAATTAATATTGATTGAATATCTTTTTATATTCTCTTTTATGTATATTTAACTCTCTAAGGCACTTATATGGTAGAATATTAAGAATCTAATATATTATATATTATTTTATTATTTTATTGAGCCAAAATAATGTGTTGCATTAAAACTAAGAGAATGGAACAATAGTTTATATGACTTAAAAGACTGAGGTAGTTTTATATTGATATTTTTAACTGTACATCACACAGACTCCCTCTGTGAGGGAGATGGGCGGTTTCTAAACGTGATAAATAAATAAAATAAATTATAGATATACTTTTACTTTCTACAAATGCCACATGTTTATTCATTCTATATTTTTTTCTAATTTGATTAGTATTGCTAGTACATAGCCAGAAGATATCTTCATATCTTCTGGCTATGTACTATATATGTATGCATATGTACCACACAGATACCAAATAGAAGCTACTGTATGCCAATTATTTTGGGTGGAAAGTTTCAATGTAAAAAAAAAAAGAATCACATTCTTAAATAAGGATAGAATAAGCTCATCTGATACACAGAAAACTCCCCCCCCCCCAACAAAAAAAGAAAAGGAAGAAAATATCTTTTATCAATTCACTCTTCAGAGTACAACATTATATGTTTAGCTTTCTGGAGACAGAGGTTATTTGAAGCGTTCAAACTATTGCCCGAAGTGAATTTCATGATGGGAAATAATTATTATGATGCTCTCAAGAATATGGCTATGTCCACTTAATTTTAAAAGTCAGCTCATAAAAATATTAAGACAAAAACATTAATATTTTATGATACAGATAGGTCACTCTTTCAACGTTGTGTGCTGAAAAATTAAGCTTGGTTGTATATTATTTTTCTGCAACAGCTGTAATTAGCATAATATTTGGACGAATGTCAGTCTACCGATGGTTGGGAAAAATGGGCACTCTGGAATGTTTGTGGAGCTTCTGATATGGTGACTCAACATTTTAAAGTTTTGCACAGGATAAGGAATTAGAAGAGTTGGAAGGAATCCAACTACAGTTATCTTATCACAGCTGCAGTTACTTGAGAAATGCTGAAATGTACACTACTTTCAAACAGGGTCAGCAATCTTTTCAGGCATTGTATAATTTGATGTGATGCTCTAAATGCTAAAACATACGCATTAAAAAGATTTTTTTTTCATTTTAAGAAACTAAGATCTTATCAGATTTCATGTTTTCTTGCCCAAAAACTGACAAGAGGGAAAAAAAATAAAAATATGACATTCTCATAGGATTTTGGTCATTTTAAGACAGCAATCTAGATATACTGCTAGTAAGCATCATACTACTTCTCCTTACAATTCCATTATTAAAAACGTAACAACCAATTCTTTGTTTCCATGTATATAAACTAATTTGTTGTCTGTAAACTATGGTATTTAAGGCTTTCAATTCATGCAGAAGAAGGACTATAGGATTACAGGACTGTAATAGAAATACATAGTTATACTTAGAATGAAGAACATTTACACACACACACAAACACACACACACACACACACACACACACACACGCCTCAGTATGCTGGACCCTGATTAGGCAGCCAAAATAAGGAAGATTATTTAATTTACAATTTATTTGAAACATTTTAATTAAAAAGTATTTCCTTTAGACTGCAGTGTTTCTCAACCTTGACAATTTTAAGGCATGTGGGCTTCAACTCCCAGAATTGCTGTGGATGCTGGCTGTGGAATTCTGGGAGTTGAAGTCCACATGCCTTAAAATTGTCAAGGTTGAGAAACACTGCTTTAGAGGTAAGAAATTGTAGTTTGCACAACCAAGAAATTTCAACATAAAAGTCGATTGATTTCTGAGAAATCATCTGTGCAGTTACATCACAAAAAATTAGACATAATAATATGTAAGCCTAAGGATTGAAAAGAGCATTGTATTCTGAATAAAAATAAAAAATATATTTGCAAGGAGAAACATCAACATGGGTATTGGTAAGATATATTAGGTTCCAATACTTGCTTTGTTTGTTAGCTGAAAATGAAACTATTTTACCTCCAATGTATCAAGCACTTTGGCAAGATTCTGGTTTCTAAAAGAAAGGCTTTTTACATTTTTCTTGCTAATGGCCAATTATTAACAAAACATTTAAAAGAGAAACAAAAAGAGCAAAAAGGCAAATTAAAATACAAGCAAACCTATTTTAGTTAGCCAGTGCAACAGTACAAAATCCATACTGCAAGTATTACAAAGTCTATTTATTCTACATGGCCCTGGTTACCTATCTGCTTTTAACAGCAAAGCAGTAGAAATTATGAAGACGATGGGGCAAAATAAGATGTTGCTTCTACTTTAGATTTTTTAACATGGGATTAGACAAATAATGAAGGGCCAATCCATCAGCAGCCATTGGCAATAACGGACAGATACATTTATGTAGTACTTATTTTGAATACTGTTTTTTCAATAAGAACTTCTCCAAGCAATTTATTAAAGTTAAAAGAGTTCGATTTCATCAGAGGTGGACTTTCACACATAGAGCATTCACCCCCGAACCAAGCAACACATTTTCTCCACAGCTTTCCCCAACCTGAAGTCTTTAGTTGTGCTGGGATTACAACTTCCAAAATCCTTAGCCTTTGGCCATGCTTGTGGAAATTCTGGGAGCTGTATTCCCATTTCATTTGGATATAATGCAGAAAAACTACCATATCATACTGGTTTGTGAGCTTCCTCGCTATTTTTTTAAATGGTGGATTTTTGGTCAGATATACCACCATATTCCTAAAGAATCCAAGAGTATATAAAGACCTTATATTTTAAATCTGTCCAATTAATGTATGCCATCCCAATTGACAAATAGATAGCTCAGTGCTGCAGGACATGTCTGCTAAGTTCAAATGTAAAAAGGATATAATGAAGACTGTTTAAAACAAACCAACAAGCTGCATTTAAGTTTGAGCTTGTTGAATATATTGTAACACCATTTATCAAGATTTACTTGCTCTAGAAACTTACACCCAACTGTTGAAATTTATCTGGATTAACCATATAAATAACAGAGAAAGCCCAGAGACTACAGACTATTACCTAACTCAACCTTCCTATAAAAGAGTGACATATACTGTTCACCAGTTCATGCTTATAGTTCACTGAAATTTCAATCCTACACAGACTAAGATCTACTGAAATCAAGGCAATCCTCTATTGGCTGAATACACAGAATCTAAACAAAGTAACCTTTGGTACTTTTAGAGGGAGGCAAAGTGGATAACCATGGTGTTCCAGGAGAAGAAATAACAATACTGTGAGGAGCATCAAAAATTCTAGGTGATGCTTAAATATTTTTGTATGGTGTTTTACTTCATTTCTGAAAAGACTTTAGGCTTCATGTTCTAATGGCCTTGAAATGGAGCCAGTTGACGTTATGTTAATGTAAATGTATGCCGAGTTACCAAAAGGTTTCGAGGATCCCACTGTTTTCTATGGTAAGAAATATTACTCAATCTATTGTAGTGGTCCCTCCAAGAGCAAGATCTGATGACTTAAAACTTTGTTTCCTTTGCAGCAAACATTAGCCTAAACTGTCCACAACAACCTGTTCATATAGTTTCCTGCCAGAGGGTGGAAGTCAGGCCTGTTTCCTTTCCACATGCTACAACAGGAAGGGCACAGTGAAGAAATTTCCTGAACATACTCCTCATCCACCCTTTCTCTGACAGCAGTGGAAGAATGATGTGGAGCAAGTATGACGAAAAAGATAACCTCAGGTTCATTCTTTCAGGACACAGTAACAAAGCACACCAGGCGTTCAGCTGATGTCTGGGGTTTGGAGGTGTTCTGATAAGGAATAAATGTTGGATTTCCAAATCCAAAAGTTAGCCGAGTATCTAAATGGCAATGCCAATAAAGCAAATGTTAGTATGCCCTTAAGAAAAGCTGTTCTGTTCTAAGGTATCTGATCCAGTTCCCCAACTTCCTTTTTTAAGTGTGGATTAACCAGAGCAACTTGCCAAGACAAATGAAAGAAAGTATGACCCCCCCCCCAACACACACACTACAATTCCTGGGTAGTGCTGTTCCCTTCTAATTTTCATACCACCATCACCTTTCCTTCTGCAGTCATTGGACCCTGGCATTTCTTAGGCTGGTTCATTTGCTTTCTGCAGTATAATCATATGCAATGAAGATATGCATGGCCAACATTTAAGCAGGCTGCAGATCAATTAGTGGTCTTAAGTTTATCTGATTTTTATCAAAGAAGACAGAGCTGTGGGTCGATTGTCAGAGCCTGTGTCAAGATGACCTTTTCAGAGATGTCTACATTGTTGGTCCCCTGGGCAACTTGTTGTCCCCTGTTAGTCTCTGAATGACAGAAGTCTGTTCTGCTCAAGCACAAAGTATACACAGATGTCTATATTACATTCTTATAGGTTTGACAGCAACTGCATGTTGTATCTATAAACTGTCCTTTAGCAGTGACACATCCTCAATGATGATAAGCTAATTTATGCAGCTAAATCTCCTTTGTGAAGAAATGAAAGCTAATTGAGTCATTACAAAGTAATTCAGAAAGGAATACCTTGTATAAATTGGCTTACTTTATAAATCCTTCTCAAGCAATTTTCATGCATCCTAAATGGGGCTATTCAGATTCTGCCCTCCACCAAATCCCATTCAGCTTTAGTGCCATAGGAGAATGGTTAAGCTTCTGGAATTTCAAATATCTTTATTTGTGCTAGAGGGAAGGCAAGTCTTCAAAAGCAAATATAGACACCATATCCAACATACCTGAAATACTGCTTACAGCATCCTGACTTTGTTTGGTTGGTTCCTCACTCTTTCCTGGTATTTCAGCTACTGTTGCTGCTTCTTCTGCAAATACAATAAGTTCAACAAACAAGTTAGCTTAAACTATTTTAGTCCTAGATCATTCAGAAAAGACCAAGAAAATAATTCATTTGTGCACACTTTGTCTCTTCAGAACATGTTGGAGGCTAAAACTGTGTTAAACACTTGCCATTCTCCCTTAGTTACAAACACCAACAGTTTGAATAAAAAAACATACATAGCATATTTACAACCATTTGTTTTTTATAAAGATAGAAAGTAGATTTTAATTGCCAACAGGTCAGCCTTCCCAAATCTGGTGTCCTACACATGTTGTTAGATTTTCATTGTGGAGCTGAGTTCAACATATTGGAAGTTTTCAATAGTTCTTTTCTTTGAATTTGCTTATAATCCATATATGTCCTCTAAGGTTATTTTTCTAGAGCATTCTCCCAAAGCCAAAATTTTATTTTAGTTTACCTACTTACATGGTGATAACCACTAGCACTTTAAGACAATGCTGCCCAAGACATTTTGCTGCCTAAAGCAGAGTTCAGAGTTTGGCCCAGCTTCACGGTCATCTCCATCAGATTAATTTCTGAATCCACCAATTTCTTATTCACTAAAATACTGCATGAATCAGGTCATTTTAATTTACCTCTTGGCAAGACTACCCCTGCATCAAACTGACATACTTGCAGCCTTTTTTTCTCTTTTAAGTTATAAATATGTATGGAAAGCTTTGCCATGCTGCAAATTGTACAATTAAATCAACACAAGCTAATCTTCAACATCAAGAATGAAACACTAAAAGCTTTAGACCACAGTTATTCAAGTGACTTCTCCTTTATCCATCTAGACCCAATACTGTTCTACTCCTAATGGGGCATGATCACACAATTTGCTTACACTGAATTGTGGTTACACCTGATTCCACTTTGAAAGCAGTCTGTGCATGATATACTGAAATACTTGGAAAAAGTCCAACATCAGTGCTGAGAAAATCTGTGAACCAGCTGACTCTAACCACAAAATGCTGTTTTGTAGATTACAGGACTCACAAAGTATGCAATTATCAGGTTATTATAAATGTGGGATTGTAGAATGGTCTGTGAGAATTTTGTTGAGAGATAGGAGGAGGAAGAGCTGCAGCCAGGGCAACAATCAGATAAGAGCATCAATAGTCATGACATTGGTTTCTTGTCTGGACTACCTAGAAAGAGTGACAGATTGGTATACTTTAGAAGCAGTGCATCTGATTCCAGAAATCTACCAATTTATGTAACTGTACGGTTTTTACTGATCATTATGAACAAGTTTTTACTTAGAATTAATAAGGAGCACTCTATCACCTGTAAGTATTGAGGATGGCTTAATTATCATTACAATATTGCACCTAGCTGCAATTCCTGTAACTAACAGCCCAGTCACAATTTAGATTCAGTTTCAACAAACAGTATTACGTGTCACAATTTCTGGACAACAATTTAGTTAGAGGCTAATAACATGACTGAATATTACAATTCAGATGGTATCACTTTGTCTAATCTAATTTGATTTGATTGCCTCTCTTAGCAACTAGTTGGGCTCTGACTATGGCAGACCAGATGGTTTGATGTCCATTTAAAAGAAAGTTAACATCAATAAGTGTGTGTGATAATATTCAAAGTACAATATGTGGTTGGGTGTGCTCACTTTACAATTCATTTAATAGTTAGTGATTCCTTGATTGTTCAGCTGGGGTCAGCATGTTTAATCTAATGTGGAAATCCAGCTTGCAATGTCTAGCAATGAAACTTCCTGGGTGGACCATAGTAAGGTCTACTACCTTGTAGCCTGCCAGATTAGGTTTTTGTCTAGATAAAATAGCCTCACTTCACACAAAGGAAAATGCAATGAAAATGCAGAATAGTAAAACAGCTTCCTCATGCTACATGTTAATCAAGCACACTGACAAGACTTGAAAAATCTTTCTATTTTACTGTCAGGGACATCAAACTCTCATTCCTTAGTCACATCTCATGAACAGTCAGATCCATTGATGTCCAGTGGGGAATCCACTGTTCCAGTGGACATCAGTCTTAAATAATTCACACTTGATAAACATTATTAAATTTGCAGCATTTTGCAAAAGACCATTTTTGCTGCTAAAAATGTTGACAAACTTTATTTGTGGCATTCAAGCAATGATGCCAGCTGTTCTTATCAATTTATTACTGTACAGTCTTGGCAAATGATAAACAATGCAATACTTAATTTTAGTTGCACTTAATTAAGAAATCTGCTCTTTCAAAAACATTCTTCCATATAATTTAGTCTAGGCAACCCAGCAACCATTAGTGGGCATTATTCTCACAGCCATATGTTATTTCCTATTTGTTATATGCTGTCAATTAAACATTTACTGTATATACATTTTTTTGATTTTTATAATAGATTTAGAATACATAAGAATGTTTGTCTGCTTGTATGCATAAAGGCAATCTTCTCATCCAACTTTAGAAAATAATTACAGCAGCTTTTTTTGACGCCTTAAATAAATTAATTATAAGATTAAGCTTTCCCATATCATATTTCCTTTCTTTACTGCTTGCATAATTACATATATGCTTTGAGGAATTTCTCTGGACACTCAAAGAGGTGAACACATCACGTTCAATAGATAAAACAGAACACATCAAATAAATGGATATAAAAAATTGTCTAAATTTGGTTTCTATGGTGCACTTCTGCCATAACATAAATAATCTTTTGGTGGATAAGCCAGTCCTTAACTAAGTCCTTCTATCTCCTTCTCATTCAAAGCTCTAATCCCTGTCACAAAAATACCTACATTAGCCCTAATTAATAGCATATTAATAACAAGCACTTTGTTGGGCTACATTAGTTAGGAAACGCTCTGTCACTAAACAATATTAATACTTCAGATAGCGAACTTGTGGGTGAATATATTCTACTCAATACTTCAACAATGGTAAACAAAAACAGCTGAACTATGCAGTAAAATTCATCAAAGCACACAGATGGTTGTAAGATTTTCATTATGTAGTTTCCATAGCAATCATATTGCAAATCTGGAAGCTTCTTGCAAATAAGCAGCTTGTGTTTACATGCCTTTCAGCTGCACTATGGAATTCTTCAATATGAGAAGTGATTACTCCAATCACATTAGAAAAATGACTAGGATATACAGTCACATTTTCTGTTGATATCTAAGACTAGTTTCTCTGTGAAAGCTAGTTGTTGATAATTTCATGCTCTTAGTAAAGGAGCGTGCATCCTTTGTAAGCTGTGATCTCAGCATGTTCAATATGCAATACTTGTTTCAACTGTAGAAGTAAATATACTGTATCATCTTTTAGACTCTACCAAAGCATTGTTGTGGGCCTCTTCATGACCATCTAAGGAGGTAGGCAGCAGCAGCAGCAGAATGACGTAGCATACTGTGCAGTATCTGGAGCACCAGACACAAGATAACCATCATAAACATTCTTGTTTTGAAGACTAACAGACCAGACACTTTAGGTAGATAACAGGGCCAAAATCCTGAATATTACAAAAGTCAGCAGTGTCTAACCAACCTCTTGTTGCCAGATGACTGCTAATATATAAAGGGAATTTGAAAGATTCTGCTGTATAGAAATTTTGGACCACTTACTTCAATTCATTTCAGACCTGCAATAACATTTCTATAAAATTTAAGTATGGACTTTTGACTGGGCCATCCCAAAATGTCTCTTGTAAATTGTCATGTATGTTTGGAATCACTTTTTGCTGTATGAACACTTCAGCTTCAATTGCTATTTTTCTATAGAAATGTTCCCAATATAATGCATTTAATGGTGGCCGTTGTCCATGTCTTGAGCCACCAAAGCATTCCCAAATTATAACATTTTCATGTTTGAAAGCTGGTATAAGGTTCTTACTGGGAGGCAGTGTTTCGTTTTCACAGCCCTAATAATATCCATAGCTTGAAAACTTCTACTTTTGACTCATCTATTCTCTCAGAATCTGGAGGGATAAACTTGGTAAACTTGAAATGAGCACTGACATTTTTTTCCTAATGAGCCTTGGTTTTTTTTACCTAGCTATCGTCCCATAATTCCTATTTTTACCACTGTTTTTCTGACAGGTGAATCATTAGCTTTGACTCTGACCAAGGAAAGAAGAACTTGCACATCCCCAGATGCTCTTCCGAGTTTTCTGATTTCCTGGATGGTTTTATCCGGCTCTTTTGCAATCATTTTGACAGGATAAACATTCTCAGGAAGATTTAATATGGTCCCAAATCTCAAATTCAAGACTATCTGGAGCAATGATTCCATAATATTTTCCAGATTGATAGGCATCAAAATAGTTCTTACAAGGAAGTTTTTAGAAATTGAGTTTATGTTACCTCTTTTTGCACCCTCTGCAATGCAATTTTCTATATAATTTTACACACCCTAAATACATTTTCTATTCTATCCACACTGATATGGATGCTTCTATTCAAATAATACCGAGAATGACATTCTGATTACAGGTAGTCCTCAACTTACAACCATTTGTTTAGTGACCATTCAAAGTTACAAAGGCACTGAAAAAAGTGACTTATGACCATTTTTCATACTTATGACCACTGCAGCATCCCCATATTCATGTGATCAAAATTCAGACAATTGGCAACTGACACATATGGGTCATGTGATCCCCTTTTGCAATCTTTTGACAGACAAAGTCAATATGGAAGCCAATTTTACCCAATAACCATGTTATTAGTATAATAACTGCAGTGATTCACTTAACAGCTGTCGCAAGAAAGGTCATAAAATGAGGCAAAATTCACTTAACTGTCTCGTTTAACAACAGAAACTTTGGGCTCAATTGTAGTTGTAAATCAAGGACTACCTGTATTCACTGAGTATGCTAAAGTCACACAACATAGAGCAGGCTTTTGTAACTGTTTTATAATAGTTATAATTTTCCATTCTGGAAAAAATAACATTTTTGGAAGAGATGCCAACATTTTTTAATTTCAGTAATTATTTTATGGAAGAAGAGTA